GGAACAAGAGAAAAGACTTCTTCGTTCTTTAAAAGCTGTACAACTTATCACTTCTAAATCCTAGAAAGTAATCATTCGTTCTTGACACATCAACTCGTAATTGCAATCTGGCAGACAAATGGAGAAAAAAACGCGGACACACATAGAGAGAAACCTTTCATAAATCTATGAACAGACAGAGAAACTATTGAAGTTGGAAGATCGCATCTACTACACGATCTTAGTCGTTGTGAAATTTTCTATCCGCCTTCTGTGATGACATGTGTTTACCGCACGTACAGGAAATTCCGATTATGGCGATTTAGACTACATATATTTAATCAGATAATTATTCTGCGTATTTCATTCATTTTTTTTCTGTTTCCTAGAACGACGTAGTCATCGCATCTGCGGTTTCATTACTATAAATTTTGTCGATAATTAATCTTCAGACAATTCCTAGCTGTCAATTCCACAGAATACTTTTTAATAAACATTAAAAAATTTTAATTATATTACATAGAAAATAAATGAATCTTAAATCAAGATTATATATTCATATATTCTTGATTCATTCATATGTAAGTAGGAATATTAATCTTCTCAGAAAAATTTTAATCTCGATTCGATTGAATTTGTATTGATGCAAATATAGATATATAATATTTTTAAAACAAACAAGAATGTTAATAATTTTCAGAAGATTTTTATTTTTGAGTTGAATAAAAGTAATACTTGCATTAATACAAATTTAATCAAAACAGAAATTTTTCAAAAGATTATATTCTTATTTATATATATAAAAATATTTGTCTTGATTTAAACTTAATTTTTTCTGTGTCAAATTTTAAATAATCAATACGGGCAGGAAATCATTTGTACATAAATTCTGCTGCGATCTAATTTTTGAAATTTCAGGGAACAATTATTAATACATTAGTTCAATTTTACAACAATATCTTGATCATTAATAATAAACACTATTAACTTTCTAAAATGATATAAATAAGTTTTATTCAAATTAAGAGGTTTAAATGGTTAAATAACAACATAAAGTTTATGATATTAAACACAGTACTAATAAAGATATAATCTTATAAAGATATAATCTCATTTATGTAATCAAATATACATTCAACTGTTGCAGAAATAAAATTATATTATAATATGGAATCTTTATTGAAAAATAAATGTTACTAAATTTATACTGTTAATAATTTTATACTATTTATAAAATACTATTGTGGCATGCATAAAAAACACATAAAATTTTTTAGAATATGCTATAGACACATAAAACTCCTTAACATGTTTAACTAATGCTAGATATCGGAAATACGAATTCCGATACGGCTTTATCGCGTCGCCAGCCTCTCGGTGTCAAGTCAAGGTTTTGGAATGTGGCGCGCGACTTGGTTGACATCTCCCGTCGTTGCCATGAATATTGTACCAGACCATCGCTTTAAGCTTTAACACAGCCATGAATAACCGAACCAGTCGAGCGGGACGACGAAATTTCTTAAGAATATAGAATTGCTGCACCCTCTTAAAGTATTTCTTTTAATTCCGTCCGGCAATGTCCGGCCTATGAGTAAATAATGACAAAGGCAAGAAGAGCCTGGCTAGAAAAGGTGTTCGTTCTGTGACAATTTCCGTAATAAAGAGTCCGTATATGACTCACTGATTAAAGTTTATTTAATCGCATAAAAGGACTTCACGGAGGACAATGAATGGAAAATAATAAAACGCGTTATAATAATAAATTTGATCGGTGTCATAAAGATTTTTATATTCGCTGCTTACGCAATTAAATACTGATTTCCGATATTAAGATACAATTACATGATATAATCTTTCTGACAAAAATAGTCGTCTCTTATAAAAGACGTGCCTCAAGATATGTATTTATCATTGTCACCTACCAGGTACAGGTCAGTTCATGATTCAGTCCTTTTATTAAGATAAAAAAATTGATTTACACATACTGATCGTTATCAATATTTATTGATAATGCCTAAAAATCGTGAGACAACGAAATGCGAATTTTACTTGTACGATACAAGCCGATATTTATTAAAGTCTCTAAATTAAGAATTTTTTTCTCTGACAAAGCATATGCATACAACTTTCATTTTAACGTTTTTAACTAATCAACGTTACAATTTAAGGTAATGTTGGTAACCATATGCTATACGCGTAATGCCGAGTCATTATCGCACTGACGATCCTACACAATGAGAATCTCCTGTTTCCTCGAGAGAAAAATGTATCTCTCGATGGAAACTTCGACCAGCCAATGAGGGCATCGTCTGGCGAGCGGAGCGTCGGTTTACGAACATTGATACGAAAGAGACACGTACACGTACGCGGCTTCTGTTGTGATGATTTACAAGCGCTTCTCACCTGTCGCGCCGAACTCGCCGTCCGTTTGCATCCTAACCGGAACGGAAACAGTAAAGCCGGAGGTACGCCGACCCCGCGTTTTTTCTACGCAGCGGACAAGCCGCACTTTACGCTCGCACACGCGGGACCAGGCCGCGAGCGCATCGATCGCGAAAAGCTCGTTGTCACTCGACGCGACGCGACTCCGAGCTGTACTGAGGCTGAAATTCATACGATTTTCTCTCTTCCTCTCGCCGATTCCCGTCTTGGTTTCTCCTACCACCGCAGTCACGTGCGGTCACTTTGCTTTTATCTCCGTTCGACTACTAGTCGCGCCATAACTCCGTCGTCCTCCTTTCGGGCCCCGCGTCCTCCTCCGTCGTCTCCCACCGTTTCGCTTTACCGTCAAGGTTTACGCGCACGAAGCCCGACGGATCTCTCTTTCGTGATTTTCCGCGATATTTTCACAGTCGTAGACTCGGAGATCAAGCTCGCAATGTAGAAACGCGACGCAAACAAGACGAGCGCCGGAGATACCGGGTGTTTACAAAAAGCCGTGTGCCGAATTTCTATGTATTCTCCAATATATATTGTCCAATATATATTGTAATATATTGTCCTAAGTCATGATACATGACAATTCTCTAATCAATGAATATGATTCATATTAATTATTATTATGTTTTTTTAAATCTTCCCCGATGAAAGAAATTAATTATCAATCGATGCTGCTAAAAATGTATTTGTGATTCTTTTCTCAGATCGCAAAGAAATATTTTTTTCGTTTCTTAAACATGACTTTTTGTTCGACAAATTAAATATTCTTTTTCATAATATTGCTGATATATTACAAGTGATTTTAAATTAACTTTTAATACGATTTCTTTATCAAGCATTTATATACGTCAGTGGAGAGAAACTTCTTGCGCTTTCTCGATTGCTTGAATAGGCTGTAGAAATTTAATGCGTGTTTTATGAACAGTCTGTACAACGTGCATCATTACGTTTGCGTCGTAATGTTGATTTTTCATGTGCCCTATCTCTAGTCATCAGTTCTATAGATGGTATTACCGCATAAGCTAGCTTTGTTTCCACGGATTTCACGTAGAAATCTTGACATATTGACGTAAAGTATTTGAGTGATTATGTTATTCTTGATAACGTTAAAGAAAAATTATTCGGCTTTATTGTATTAGAAAAATAAATAAAACTTAACATTCAAAGTCAATTAAATATCTTCCATCACAAGTAAATCAAAATCAGCATCTTAGGATGAAATATTCTTGCAAATTTGAAGTGAATTTTTCAAAGAAATAAATTATAAATTATCAAGATTCAAAATTTAAATTTTTACTTAAATTTCTGTTTAAATCTTAATATCTTCATGTGAATAAGTACAAAATAATAAAATTAAATTAAATCAAAATTGATTTTAAAACTAGACCAGCAATAAGATC